GCTAGATTGATAAACCATTCCCTCCTTCTTCAGGTGTAGAAGTGGCTCAGGGTAGAATGAAAGGTTGAGCAGCACCAAAATGGAATGGCAGCCTTTTCCATCTCCCTGGTGCAGCAATTGCTGGAAACAGCACCAAAACAGGGCACCATTGTCCTGAGAAGAGACAGAGATCCTAACTATCTGCCTAAGATTTGTAACACATTTGAAAGATTTTTAAAAAGATTTTGTTTTAAGAAATGCTTTTCTGAAACTGAGAAACATATCTTTGAAATGTAATATCAACAAAGATATTTCCCTATCCCACAATTTCCATATGAAGATGAGATCCTAACATCAGTGAGCACCTAGCTTTAAGTTGCAAAATTATCTCCTCCTGCATTGACTTGAGACACTTGTTTTTTATTTGAATTTAACCAATTACCAAAAACAGAGTCTCATTAATTACCAAGTAAGTTTATGGTGCACTCTTTATGACAAATAGGGCTGTCTAGTCTTCGTTCTTCTTTCTTCAAAGCTAATTATTATTTATCTAGACAACATGTATGTAAAAGTTAGGATTTGCTTAGTTATGTTCAGTACCGACTTTATGTGTGCCTTTGAAATGTCTCAGTGGATTGGCACTGTGCACATCACGTTCTGCTTTAATTGAGTAATAAAAGTGTTTACTTTTAATTCTCTTTTAACTTTGTGGACAGGTATTCTTAGTTGGAGAGTCTTCATTTTTAATATTTCCTGAACACTTTCCAGAATTAAAAATGCAACATAAACATAAAATGTGCCCACCACTTCTAAATTAGAAGGGCTTTGAACACTAGATTCCATCTTGAGCTTCCAGTCCTTAACCTGCAACTCCAAAGCACAGAGCTTCACCGTCCCCACATCTGCACACAGTTAAGTTCTCTAGGCCTCTTTGGTGTCTACCGGAGTATACTTAGACAAGATTCCTGTGAATACACTCTCACTGGATAATAATCAATAGTTCTATCCTTTCTCTAAATGAATCTCACATCTTTAGAACTGAAATGGAGTCAGAGACTGTAGGGCTCAGACACAAATGGGAACAAGATAATGCACACTGGGTGCAACACATAAACTCATTTTCTGCCTTCTCTTCTTGCCCAAATGTGAGGAAATGTACAGTGAGTGCTAATGAGTCTATGCCTCTCAAGGGACCGAAATCTGCAGATCTGAATTCTGAATCCAAGAATCTAAGGTCTGTAAAATGATGAATCTGAATCCAAGGCCTTTAAAAGCAAAGAATTATCCATCAAGTGTTGTTCACAAACTAGACCTGGTAATCAACCTGGAATTCCCAAGACAGGAGGACATATCTTTGGGACCAAGGTTATGTCCAAAAACTCAGGGGAGACACATTGCTGTGTGTAATAATGAATCAACATGGACTTTTGGGTTGATTTTGAAAGGAAATTTTGGGGTGAGTGTAAAGAAATTTCTAGATCTTCTGTAGTGTTGTTATTATATGTTGGTGTTGTGAATGAATAGAAAGGCTTGGCACCTACATCTGAAATTATTTCTGTAAATTATATGGGGGTTTACTACAGTTCTACGCGTTTTGTGAATAACTAAGGATTTTACATTCACACAATGTGAAGGTTTCTTCACTAGTGCTATACTAATAACATATTTTACATTCTGAGGACATAGCCACATGTCTTCAGTGGACATTGCTCCATTATGCTTGCTCTCTCACTTTGGTATTAAGTGTATGTTGTGATTAGTGTTGGCGAAAAGCAGTATGTATTTGCTGTGCTTGCTGTCCTTCCTAGCCTTTGAGTGGCTACTAATTAATGAGTCAGGTTTGTAGCACATCAGCATAAAGGTTGGATCCTGACAAAGAACCCATGATTGTAACCCCTTCCTACACTCAGTCCAGACCTTTGTCTTTTACATTTCTATAGTAGTTGAGGTCTCACAGTATGTTACTATATCTACGTTCACATTGATGTTTCAGAGACAATCTTAAGGTAATTACCTCTCAGCCCAGGCTTTCAATCAGGAATACCTGGGTAGATTGAAGAAACACCATCATCTGCCTTTTGGGCTGGGTGAAAACATCCATGTGGTTTTAATTGTGGGCCCCGCAAATAATTCCAATTTGATACCAGGTCAGCATTAGTAAATCTCGTCATATATTCATGAGAATGTGAGTTTAACCTTTGTTCCCCAATGAAGTCACAGGTTCTGCTCTCTGGGTTTTGGTAGAGGCAGATCAGTGTGGTCCAGGATATCTCCATTCCTGTAGCAAGAAACTCCTGCACCCTGTAGCAGGGAGAAGGTAACCAGACCTAGAAAGGACAGGAGAAATCAACATTTGGTCTCCCTGAATGAGCTGATCATAGCTGATTTTTACTGTGAGCAAGAATAAGTGAGTGTAGCCCTTCTGCATTGTATGTTCCTCCTGCTTGTGAGTGTGATGGAAACAAGGGAAGAAATTGTGCTGACTCCATTAAGGAAAGTCTCAAGATTTAATTCTAATTGTTCCACACAATCTCACATGAAAAGAAATTTCAGAGTAGGAGAAGAAGAAGAAGAAATGGCTGGTTATCAGGTAAGTGTGTCCCAGATTGGCATTGTGTCACTAAATTTCTTACAGATAAGTCATATAGAAATGTCACTTTTTTTGAACCTGTAAACTTTCTATTCTTACTTCTGATGTTATGGCTAACAAGTTTTGTAACTACATATTTTTATTTCTTCATTATGTAGTCAACGTTTTTCTGGGAATCCTTCCTTCCATATAAACAAAGCCTACTGTACATCTCTCCAACAATGCTTCTTACCTACAAGAACCATGTTTTCTAAGAAATATTATGGCATATAATATTAAAAAGGTTCACCCATCATGAGAGGTCAATGATAAAAGTATGAATTTTGAGAATTCCCATTGGGGATAGAATGAAATATTTGGATTTGAGTGAGGAAGGGATAACAGGTAACTCTAAAGTTTGATCTAGATACTTCACCATCTCTGCATAATATATTATTAGGAAAGTTCAGAAAGAAGATAGCATTGATTGCCTAGGATAACCAGAAAATTATGGAAAAACTTAAATAAAAGATTGTTCCGTATGCATGCCTAAAGTATTTACATAATCTATTAAAGATAAAACATGGGAAGTATCTGTATCTGAAATTTGCATAAATCTGATGATTCTTCATGGTTACATATTGTTGGCCACTACCATCCCAGCAGTGATTTTGTATCTTCCTCTTTGCAAGAATGCCTAACACCAATTCATTTTGCTAAAGTTATGCTAATTTCATTCACTTGCTTAAGGTGCTTTCTGACAGATTCACCCAATATAAAGTTAATTGTTTTTTTGTTTATCATTAAGGGTCTTGTGGAGATTTACTGACTGATGTGCATGAGCCATTACATTTAATCTAGAAGCTCTAATTTCTTCGTATAGCTTGCTTTGAAAAATGAGGGCTATTATCTGTGTTCTGTTCAGATGAACTGAGATATATTCAAAGTCTACCACTTACTGGATATTGACAAAATACTCTCCTTAGGCAAGAAGCATTGTTGTCAGTAGTTATATTATGTGAAATGCAGAGATTCAGACCCCACCCCAGATCGCCTGAATCAGAAGCTGTATTTTAACAAAATCTCCAGTTCTTTACTGTACTTGTAAAAATTATGTGATACCTTCTAACTCTCTATGATCCTGTATGTGAGAAATATGCACAATTTATTGATGTGATATAAATATAACACCCATAAATTTATATTACCATTGTAAGGCCCTTAATTTTGTATTAAATACTTTATTATTCATAGCAGAATAGTATGCACACAATTTCATAGATCTTTTGTGATCCTCATTCCAGCAGATAAGAAAATGTGTTCAATAATATCCATGTGCTAAAAATTATCTTATTGGATAATTCCAGTCACTCATAAGCCAGAAACAGTTCTCATAACTCATTTTCCTTGTAGTCAAATTAAAAACTCTCTGTATGGCCACTTGGGAAATATGTGTCTTTTTACAGGAGATGGTGACATTCCAGAATGTGGCAGTAGAATTCTCTCCAGAGGAGTGGGCATGCCTTGACTATGCTCAGCGGAATTTTTATAGGGATGTGATGTTAGAGAACTACAGAAACCTGGTCTCCCTTGGTGAGGATCACTTATATACAGAATTCCTATTCCACATTAAGGCCATTAGTATATTTTTGTAGATAATTCCTTAAAAGTATCTACTTTACATGAATGAATTTTATATCCATGCTTTTACAGAAAATTTGAAGAATGTTGTTGTGTAAAATAAAATCATTAGATGTCTCATGTTATGTTGAACCTTTCCCTTTCTTGGGCTGATATCTATATTTCACACTAGATTAGTGGTTACTTTAGAAATCAGGGTATATAGTTGTTGCCTGCACCTTAGAATAGAATTTCCACCTCTTATTTATTTAGTGCTAGTGGGAATTGGTGCTCTAGTGATAAAGTAGAAATAATTTTTTATCATTCTACAGGGTCTGTTAGAAAACAATTAGTTGCAAAGGAATTTTATAGAATCTTCTGTAATGTTGTGTCTACTAAGGATAGCACTGCATTAGTAATTGGAAAGACTTCAGTAAGAGTCATGTGAAATTTTTCTAATGAAACAGGTCTTGCTGTCTCAAAGCCAGAGCTGATTGCATGTCTGGAGCAAAGGATAGAGCCCTGGATTATGAAGAAAGAGGAAACAACAGTTAAATATCCAGGTAGGTGAGATTCAGTGAAGCACATAACAAATGTTAGACAGGTATATCTCAAAGAGGAAGGCAAATATTAAAAAGTGGCTTGGAATATTCTGTTCAGTTGGAAAGGATTTTTAGAAGCCTGTGTATGTTGCTCTTTATCTTCCAGAAGGACATCTTTTGTCCCAGACTCTTTAACTCTCAAAGAATTCTACCCATGAAGTGATCATCCTTAGAAGTCAGTGAGAGCCGTACTTCTTCTGATGGCTTATAAGGGACTACATTATCTATCAGCATTTTTATTGTTTAGGAGTTATGGGACTATCTGTTAAATTAAATCATCTTTTGACAGGGTTTTGCTCTCCTGCCATTTCTTGAGTAAAATGGCTGATCTTAGCTCACTGAAAACTCAAACATCTGGGCTCCAGGGATCCTAAAACCTCTGTCTTCCAAGTAGCTAGAACTATGGGCATGAGCTACCATGGCCAGCCATTATTTTTCATTATTATTATTATCTGGTAAAAATGGAATCTC